CACCGTCTAAACGTAACTCTAGATTTCCTCAACGCACAAGGTAGACTTTTATTTGCAATAGAACAGTAATTGAGCATAATCTAAAACGAACTTTGTTATTGACAACTTTCATACCCAATTCATATTATGAACATTTTCGATCGTATCATGTAAACAAACACTGTTACAACGATTACTTTTTGCAAATTAATCTGATTTGAAATTTTGTTTTCGACATTCGTGATGATCATTGCATTAAAGGATGGTTTGCTGCACGCAAAATTACTTTAAAACTCCTTCAACCTGTACCTTTCATATCATCTGAAGCGCAATTTCTGCTTGATCAAATGCTTTCGTCATGGCAAACTCATGCACTATGTTTTTTTTTCGTTACTTCCTCGATCACTTCCAAAATTTCTCCCAAATTTTCCATAAGAACGTACTCAATATTCCCCAGTCATTTTTTGCATACGAAATTAGTTGTTAACAAATCTGCTAACCTAGTTCATTGTTTGCACTAAAATATAGTATTTTACATCAAATAATACTATACGAATATAGGTGAAACACATGAAGATACGGGCGCCCGAGAAGTTTCTCTTCATGAAACATTTCAAACGATTTGAAATAGGTAAGGAACAAACTACTAATCAGAACGGTGGTTATTGGAACTGACGGATAACATATCTGATAGGATAATAAAGGTAAGTGGGAAGAAGATAGCAGTATTTGCTAAGAAGGAAGCAATCAAGCAAATTAATGCAAGCCAGAAAAAAATACCAGATAAGCACAATTAAATAATGGGATTTTTATCAGTGGTATCATTGGGTAATATACACCAAAAAGCGACACAAAATTTCTTGCTAAAGTAGAAATCTAGAAAAAAGAGATTTAATTGTAGATTTTTCACACATTTTCCTTTTAAAAATAAGAACGAAAACGAAAATAGATATTCCATAGCAGAGTTTATATTGTTTACGAATGAAAGTAATGAATTCGTTTCAAGGAAATCAATCTATCGCAGTTAACAAAATGAGCAACTATTCTCGGATTGTCTGAAGCTGAACTGTTTGACGACATTCAAGATATGTTCACCTGCCGTCTAAGTCAAATTTCGCTTCAGCAAACCCTAATTTTCAGCCACTTGTCTCCAATAACATATTATTTTTAATGGATACAATATTAAAGCACTTTGAAAAAAAAAACGTTGATTTCAGGTGTATCTGCATTATAAATGTGATCGAAGGCTTCCAGTTTTTCGCATACTTTGTGTGTTTCAGGTCACAGAGATTTCTCTTTCCCGACTCCAGCCATACTTTGCATTGTTACTCACTGACTGCATTTTTCATGTATTGAAATTATATTCAAGGCTATATGTGTCATTGTTATTTGGCAGTTATGTGCTGTTATCGTGCAGTGCTGAGTTGCAAAGAACAAGTGAATTTAGAGCACATGTATGGCCAACGGGCACGTTGCAATACGAAAGTAGCAGCAATCCGAATTTATGAGATCACTTCTTTCACGAGCATTGCATTATCGTGAATACCTCTTAGCTATCGGATTTTATTTCTGTATAATACATACAAAACGATTTTTTCTGTCCCTGACGCATTTCATTTTATAGCCGAAAAGGTCGTATGGTTTGTTGTAAAACTTGAGAAGAATAGAACAGTAAACGTTAGAGTAGGGCAGTTATATTAACAGTTTTTCTGAAACGCAATGCTTTTTTCAGCTTCAATGAGGGAGATGCGTCCTTCGAATTTTGTAAATATTTTAAGCCACTAATTCATACTATCGTAATTGTTCCGTTCTGGTACCGTGTTCAGTTTGCGTTATCATTCTGTGTGATTGAAATCACATTCATTGTCAGTTATCACTGTTTATCAGCAATAATTTTCAATTGGCCTCTAAATGGATGTACGCCTTAACAAGTATTGCCTTGGACAGGTCATCATTAAGATGCCACCAAAAACATTTTATTTTTGAACTGAATCAGCGTTAGTGATTGCCATTTTTTTGCAAAATATTATGCTGCAGCTTTATCACCTGATAGTATCCAGAAGATTCTGAATGCTATCCATAAGAGATTGAATTGGAAGGGGAAAGTTAACGTGAACTGTCAAAGGAGATGGGAGTCAAAAGACTCATTCGTGTTACAAACTGACCATCCTTGGCCAAATCAAACACACTTTCTTAATATCAAAATTTAACACTATTCAGAATTATCTCCTCCAAATATACGAAAGCCGATCGGACGAAGGTGACCGTTCCAAATGGAATGTTCTCGGTAAAAAGTGCAAATATCTTTCGAAATCAGAACGCCCACGGTAAAAACTGAAAATGTCATTCTGATTTTATTACGATCTGAAAAAATGATATATGGTAGTGAAAAAATGAAACACGGTACGCAAGAAAATAGTTTTGTGTTCGATATGATTCACTTCTAAGTGGTGGCATCAAGTGTTCGTTGACCGTTGTAGTTGGGATTTGATAGAGTTTGATAAAGAGTGCTTTCAAATACCATTAGCGTGTTTCGTTCGACTGATAATATAATATATTAGTTGACTGATTAATAGTTGCAGATTTTATTGCAAAATAATAGTAGTGGCAAACATATGCATATGTATCGCCTAGAATTGAAGGTAATAAAGGCAGTGAATCGCTCCACAAGAGTATCATTGTCGACAGTATCATTGTTGCATGCGAACGAGTATGGCTGCTATCAATAGTTGGTTGTTGTGCTTGCTTGTCTCTGCATTAGCAGTTTCATTGACGTTTGCATGCGATAATCCTGATGGTGCTTGGATCAACAAAAAGAAATCAGTTTTACAAATCAAACATGAAAATGGTACAATTAGCGGACTGCTGGACATTCATAAATACAGTGATGGTCGAATGAGTGGTGAGTTTATGGTTGTTTATTTTTCACTTCATTCTCTTTATTATTCATAAAATTTGTTAATATCAGTAGTGCAACTCCTTCATCTTTACAACGGCAATTTACAATCTATTGTTGCTAAGCGAAACGCCCAATCATTAACAAAAATAAGTTCAAAAAATTCTTTTGTTGGAAATTTCAAGTCAATACTTTCTCCCGGCCAAAAAAAACAAAAATTAGTTCCATATTTGAGTTGATCATCTAACAAGTACAGGTTTTCTTCACCTTCATTCGAATCGCTCGCACAACATATGAAGTAAACGTTTTTAGTCAATTTCGATTCATTTTCGAGGTTAGTTTTCGTCAGGAGGCAACTTTCTGACCGACAGAAGCTCCATCGAGGTGGGTAATTCCGAATAGGAAGTCAGGGAGCAAAATGCTCGGCAGTACCTAATCGTCAGAGTTTCAATCATCCAACGGAGCTAAGTCCGATACGTAAGCGATGTGTAGGCTTCGTTCATGGTTACAGTTCGTTTCAACAGTTTGGTCTTGATCTGAATTCGTCGCAAACATAGTAGTGTTGGGAACCGAGAGATTTTTTCTCGGTGGTCCCTGACCGAATTATTCCCTAATCGTTCCGCTCTGGTTGGCTTTCCCCTCAGCCCCTAACTAACCATTACTGGTCATCGATCATTCAGATAGCAATTAAAATTGAATATGTTCTTTTTTTTTATAACGCACGTGCGTTTCACTGCAGTGAACGTGAAGAAAACTTTTACTTGTCACTATCCTATAAGTGCAACACTCCCATTTAGTAAATGACAATAAAAGTTGAGTTGAATATGCAATTGCATCATTTTATCGTGTGCTGATATGATCCTCTTCAGTATACCTCATAAAAAGTTAGACAACAACTAATTGATTTGAACCTTATTAATTGTTTTTGAAAAAAAAAAGCTTAAATTTGTGTACTTTCAATTAATTATCAGTGACCTGTTTTCTGATATGCAGCACTGAAACTGTTCACTACATTCATTCAGAGAAACGTGAGCAAACTACAAATGAAAGATACATGCTCCGTTTGAGTGTTATGAGCGTTTAAATGTTCCCAAAACAGACTTCAAAGAGTCGAACTCGTTAACCCATTGTGCATCTATGCGGAAATGTTTCAATTTGCAGAAGAAGTTTATAATTATCCTGTCTGCGGTACCTATCTAGATGGTGGGCTTATCGCATACACAGTCACATTTTCGGACTCGTTGGCTGCAGTTACCGGCCAGTGCTATAGCGAGAACAATCAAGTAGTGCACTTTTTGCTATTTGAACGAGTTTCGTTCCAGCGAATCAATTTTTTGATGTGCCCACGAAATCCTTCGCATGGAAGGAACATAGAAGCGATGACGACTGGCTCAGATCGGACGACACAACAATAAATGCTTTTGATTTCATGACTGAATAATACTTATTTCCAGGACATTATAAAAGTCACTTGGCTACTAAAAACACCAACAAATAACAGTTTCGATTACTGGATGGAAACACGGTTACTTGTGCTTGTTTCTTCCTCAGTCATTCCCCATTCGAACATATTATTCAGAAGCAAAAACCGTATCGTGCTGTCATTTAGAATCAACAAAAATTCACATAATTTGGTCGGATAACGTTAGTCGTGGTTTTAAAAAATCAACACTAGAGACGATATTTCACGGATAACACAAATTCTTTTCGTTAGCTCATTCCGAAAACAAACCGAACATATTATTGCTAAATGAATAAAGAAGCAATTTTCAGGGTTGGAGAAGATGCATTCAGACGAATACGTTTGCCAGGAGGGCAAGATACAACCGGTGCACCTAGTGCCACAACTTCTGAGCAGTGATAAAAACGAAAGGAATGTGCGCATCGAGGGAAATTAAATGATCAATCAGATCATGATCAATTTACGACGTTTTGTTGAGAATAAATATGTTGTTGTTCGTTTCTTTATCTTCAAATACTCAGAATTATGAAACATTTTCAAATAAAAGCGTTAGTCGAATTTCATTGTTACAGTGAAATTTGAACATTCAACAAAAATATTTACATAGTTCACCCATACAAACAATTAAATAACTGCGAATAAATGTCTCCTATACAAACACATTCAATCGTCCGAAAGGATGTAAGGAGCAATTTTGACTATCTTTTTGATGGTAGCATCGTCGAGTTTATTCCCGTACACATCTTGCTCCAGTTGACCATCAGTCACATCCAAAACTTTAGCACACAACAGCTCGTTAATGGTGCATTTCGAACGTCGTTCGTATTTGGTTAGTAACCGTTGTAAGTAACGGAAACGGCGCATCTGCAATGAGTATTATACGATAATAAATTCATAAGATGCACAGTTTATAAATGAAACATCGTAAACGCACACCAATAAATGCGACTTCAATGCCATATTTCAATAACAAATCTTATGAGTTTTTGTATCAAATCGACTGTCAACGGAACAATTCATTACTGATAACTAACGATAAGATTGTGCACGAACATACCTCAAGTAAAGAATCGGGACTGGATTTGATTGCTCCACAAAGAACGTCGAGCGCTTCGTCAACGATTTTGTGATTCGTATCGAATCTTGGCACATCTTCGTTGAGAACACGTTCCAGTTGCGACAATGCCTCTTGCAAATGACCCATTCGTGAAAGTAGTTGTACCCTTAGACTCGTACCCAAAATGTGCACATCAGGCGGTAACCATTTGAAAAATTCACTTGCTATTTCCAAATTATCCTGAACGTCAATTGCAAGGCTACATCATTCGGCTTGTATCTAATTATGCAATTATCTTATTAAACGTTCACGAATCAATTTTGAAATTATGCTGAATCACCACTAAAAAATTAAAACTTCTTAACTATTCAAACGGTGAGTTTATGAAAACTGATCAGTCGGTTACTGCCAGCCTCAGTTATAACATTCACACAATGAGCGATTGAAATACGAGTAATGGAATAAAAGATACTAAAAATACGAACCAAAATGAGTGCGAGATGAATGCAGAAGTAAACCGCACGATTGGAGTACGCTTTCGTGATTTGTTTATCGCTTTTCAAGAAATCCGCGAGCAATTTCAGAGCGTCGTTGGTTTGCTGGAAAAGAAAGAAGTGCACAACAATGATAAAACAACAATCACGATTAATGCTGCAACTAAACCACCCTCAAAATATGTATATCACAACAACAAAAACTAAACTTTCATACAAATCTGTTCGCATATAAACTTTTCAATCGCTAATACTAGTAAGAGGAGTTCATGAAACATTACTATGTTCAAATTATCGTAACGGTTTATTTTGAAACATTCAGAAAATTGAGCAATAAGTGCAATAACATACAAGACGATGGCACTGTGCAGCAAATTTGACTGCTTCTTGTGAGCGTTCTTGTTGGTTCTGAATAGAATGCAATGCGTCGACATGGCACTGCAGTGATCGGTTGGAATCACTACCGCACTGTGAATGAGATGCGGTAATCGAGAGTGCATTGTGTGCTAGTGCTCTATGCGAATTCCACCTTGCGTACTGCCTCAATTGCGCAGCACTCAAGACCGAAGTTATGCGCCGTAGCAATGCAGTAGCTGTACGACAGCGTGACATCACCGTGTCTATCTGCAAGTGAATTCCACTTAAGAAACCATTAAAAATGACCACTCGCTGTTCGAACAATAAATAATCGATAGCTCATCAAATGAGCAATGTGATGCGCCGAGTTACCCACACCTCATCGAGATTCATTTTCAATGAATCGACATCTACTTATTTTGCAATTTGCTTCAACTTCTCATTATCACAAGCAATGAGTTCGGAAACTTCATGTGAAGTATTTGAATGTATTGTTTCTTTGTTTTTGAAAAGACAAAACATATCTCTCCAACAGTAAAACCGGTAATGTTAACATTTTTGTTTTTTTCGAAAATTATTCCTCCAGATATGTTCAGAATCGAAAGGAGCCTCAAGGAACATTCAGACGTTCAGTGGAGTGAAGTGTAAATTCATTGGTCAACATCGGCGATATCACATCCGTAGATGAGAGTGAAACGAACATGTGAACAGAGTGAGAAGTTGAGCACAATAATCATCAAACCTTTATGAATATTATAACAACAACTCAACAAAATTGTCAACAAAAATTGACGCAACCGATATGAAAACAAGAAATTTAGTATTCGCCACGGGCCAGTATACGACGCTGTTTCTTTTTCGATTCCTTCTTGGTTTTCGTGACACCTTCAGCTGGCTTAGCGACAACTTCTTCCTTCTCGGACAGAATCACTTCTATATGACACGGTGACGACATATATGCTGCAATAATTTCATTTTGAAAATGAACCTCATAGAAACCAGTGTAGCTTAGATTTAAAAAAAAAAACAAAAAATACATAGCCGTTTGATATTTCAACAACGGATTGTAAAAATGGCTTATAACCAAACAAATAAGCCATAAGCGTTCACGATCGACTTTAAAGTTGAAAACTAACGATTTATTCGGCCATGAGCACGGTACGTGCGACGTCGCATTTTGGCAGCACGCTGCACTTGAATGTGCTCAACAACAAGATGGTCCGTGTCAAGACCTTTATATTCCGCATTACTTTCGGCATTCCTAGAAAACTGAATTCATGTCTAGAAATTCACTAATATTTCAATGCGTCACTTATCAAAATCAATTATTTAAGTGTATCAAGCCGAACGGTATAATTCAATCAAAACATGATTTCATACTTATAATCTCGCAAAAATTTGATCCCTTTTATAAGATTCATAAGAGCCATCGCTCAAACTCGTTAATGAGCATTTTTTGAAAGACATCAGTCACCAACAGATGACTGCAAGCATCAAATGAATAATACAAAAATGAATGGTCGAGAGTCTTAAAATACACATAAATATACGTCGTAAACTAAAAGAACTACAAGTGGACAGAACAGACTGATTGTTCACAATTCACTAACCTTAACAACTGAAGTAAGAATTCGGCTGATTTCTTCGGCCAACGTCCTTGAGTATGTCCCCATGCTTTGGCTTGAGCTTTTCGACCAACACAATGGTTGAATTTGCGGAATGGAACAATCTCTTTCATTTCTTTGACATTTTCCAGGAAACGTATCGCACGCTTTAAGGGCATATGCTTGATGGCTTGTGCCGTCTCGTGTGTGTTCTTGAAGTGTACACGAAGATCTGAACCACGCGCCTTGCACGATTTTGTACTGTTTTCTGGCTGCATTGTATAATGTATTTTCCCCATATTTATTATCCCTGCAAAATCAATCGAACTGAACTGAATTATTTTTCAAGAAGGTAATGAGAATAACGATTCAACAATCCACCGTCATTATTTACACGAAATAAACAAATGAACACTGATTTCTACCAACCGACGCGATGAAAATCACTAATGAAAAAGGCGATTGAGATGAAACAAAGATCGCATGTTCAGTAAAATCGAATAACAGGAATAAGCAAAAAATGATTATTAGAGAACAAATGTAAGGCGCTCTAAATTCAGATTTAAAACACTAAAAAGTTCTCGAGCAAACTTGGTCAGTTCACGCCAATATGCAAGTTCATACAAACATTAATAAATAAATTAAAAGCAAACTGTGGCTGAACATCAATTTCCGCAAACTAATTGATGAATAGATCTCGTATAGTGACCGAGAACAAACGCAGAGTGCACACAAGCTGAATAAACTACAACTGAATATTCATGAAGATAAGCATCCAGCATCCACTAGCATTGAGGGTGTGGTCAAAAAACGTGATGAATAAACTCGATAATCCGGACGACAGCGTTTATTACTTCAATCATAATGACATGAATGCAGCGTTTGAATGTCGTTCAAAAACCACAGAAAAAGTGAACTTATCGATATATGATACATGAAATTTAAAGCAAAAACAAGAACCGAAGCAACAATGAGTCCTCTGCTATTCCAATACTAGGCACAGCATGAATGTAATTAATTATTTCCGGGTTAATTTACATCAAGAGATCATGTAAAGATCATTTTGACACGTATGAATAACTCCGTGTGGCAAAAGGTTAGGATTTTGGTTCGAATTGTGGTGCAGAAGACTTTTTTGCGATTGAAAGGATCGCGAGATTGATACGAGCCAACAGTGCATCACATGGATCCAACATACCGCGTTGTAATGCTTTCGGAATCGTATTTCGATGATCAAAAATCTAAATATTTTTACATGCATTTAACTAAATGAATGATGAACAAATCGTGGGTAGAATACATTTTTTGATAATGCGTTATTTATATACGTTAAATGAGTGATAAGCTGAGTGAAATAACAATAATTTGAATAGTTAAGCAAACAATCAAAGAAAAACACTCGACGAACCTGAAGTTTACGGAGAATTTCATCGATAACTGGAGGATTCCACTTGAAGCGGTCGATGAAACGAATCTTTGGATCAACAACCCACTCGTCACAAATGTAATGTCGAAAATCACGACTCACGTCCGATGCCTTTTCTTCTTTGGTTTGCTCCTCAAAATAGAATCATAACTATAAACATCACACAGACACGTAAAATTGCGACAAGACAGAAAACAGTTGCAAGCATCATTGTTGTATGAAATAATAAGGAATACTAACCGCATTCCTCATGTAGCTTTTAATCAGTTCTGGAAGGAAGCTAACTTGAGCGTTGAAATCAGTTTGAACGCTAACTGTATCGTGGAATTCGCAAATGAACGAACTTCTCACCTGAGATGAAAATCATGAATTAGTACTATATTTGAACGTGGATGTGAGAGCAAAACAGATATTACGAACAAAAAACGTAAAAGCTAAATTTGAAAGATTCATAGGTTGAACAAAACGAATGAAGAAGATCTATCAGCAACGATCACATTTTTCGAAACTTTTGACGATAATGTTTCATGCTTCTCAATTTCACAAATAAGCTATTTTCAGATATAAATAACAGATCACGAATAAGTTCATAACAAACTTCTGGCGTAGGTAATTCCTCGATATCCTCCAATTCAATCGGCTGCTTCTGCTGCGTTACAAGAATTGCATTCAGAGCAGGAAACCTGTTGAATTTCAATCACTTTATTCAATAGCACTTAACAAACTCAAGTATTAGTTGATGCATGCAGGGGCGCAACTAGCACCAATTACTCCTATATAAGACGTTATAAAAATGAAATATAAGAGAATATACTCGAAGAGTGGCAAAACAGAGTGATGTGTCACTTGCGATGCATGACCAAGTGGATGCAAATTGAGTTGCGTTAACGCATCACTGATAATATGCTCAAGACAGGCACCAACTGAACTCATCTGTCGCACCATACTACCTCGACCTTGCTAAAATGAAGTGAGACGAGATACTTAGCGAATCGATTGAAGGAGTTTCAATAATGATAATAGTATAGAATTTATGTTAAATAATACCTGAACACGACAAACAACAGCATGACAAGTAGCACTTTCATCGGCTGCAGGTGGTTGTGTAGAAGATCCTAGCTGAATATTGAGTCGTTCAGAGATTGAAACACCGACGTCGTTTCTGTTCGATGATATGAACGCATACTGTGCTTCTGGTTGGAACACAATCGATGGCTGTCGCATATGAAATAATGCCCAACTGTAAAGTGATCATTACGCTTCACCAATCAACAACTGCAATTCATTCTGAACAACTGAACAATACCTAGACGCATTCATTTCGCCATGCATACATGCCAATGAAACAGTGTTGGCATGCAGTTCGAGAAGACCGCCAACCACGGTTATACCATTCTCTCCGTTCGGCATTGGTAAAATCTTCTGACGTGATTGAATATCCGTCAACATATCCAAAACGCACGGCCAATGTTCGTATTTTGAACAATTTTGTGATGTTCGACTTGTGCTACTGTTCACGTTTGTTAGATCACTCACTGGAGAACTTTTAATTCCCCAAACCATACGACTCTTTGCCATTTGTTCCTACAATATTTCTTTTTATTGATACTGGCAGCACTACGATTGTCAAAGATATTATTACCGTGTTCATGTTGCTATCATAAAAGAATCGTTAGAGCATACCTGAAAGAAGGAATGCAACTTGTGTGCAATAAGAATGAAATCATCAACAGTAGCCTTGGTGATAATCATTTGTAAATCGCACCATGAGCCCGTCAGCTCCACACAAACTGACGCTCTTACAACCTGAAATGAGATGAATGAGCGCTTTTTGCCGATTAATGTCTAAGAACAAATATTAGAAATGAGACGACGTAATCATTTACAAGTTAAAAGAAAAGTGAGCATAATCAACGTTATTATCGACAACATAATATGAGAATATTTCATGTTCTATGAGATTAACTAAATGGAAGTCAGGAAGATGCACCAGACGGATTGCTCGAAAAAGATAAAATCACCTGGCCACTTTCATCGCAAGTATAAGACCAGTTATCTGCAAATGCTGCACATGGTTTCTCACATCGACCGATGAAGATCGGACGACTCATCCATTCCACACGACTTTCGATCTCTTTCAGTTGAAATTTAGCACTGTTCTCAGGAGGTTTCTGCAACGAAAACATTCGATAATGAATTTTCGTCCAGTGCAATAGAACAATTCAATCTGATTAGTGAGCACCAACAAATCCAATCAAAAAGTCAACATAAAAGACACACAAAATGCTTTTTTTTAAAGTGCGCAATTATTCAAGTGAAAAAATTAACAGAAATTTAAAAAGGATCGACGGATGAATTACTTTATTTGCAATTCGATGTTTGCAATGAATGGAGAGCTGCGAAATGGATAATTGCCCTGAGATAGCACCACCATGAGCTGACAACGAAGAGGATTCGAGACGAAAATTGACCGAGATAATTCGTTCAAAATGTGAATTCAGCTGTAAATTTTAAAAAATTTGTGATATTGGTTATAATTTCACAATGGAAAACACTTTTAAAAATAAAAATACTAATGTAATACTTATTAGCATGTGGATGAATACGAAAACTAAAACTTGTCAACTCGCCTCCTTATTCTGCAATCATTCATTCAGAACTACTGACCTCTAAGGTGAAATAGGGCGAATCAATTGAAAAATCTCGATTCGAAAGTAAATTTGGATGAAAACCAACGCGGATATGAACAAGTAAAAAACGTATGACTGACCTGACAGTAGCCATGAAGTACACCCTCTCTAATGAACAGCTTCGTATTGCCCATAGTGTTGGCCATCTGTGCGCCGATAGTTAGCTCTTTCCATTCGACAGCAAATATTACAGTTGCACTCCAATCTTTTTTACGCGCTGTCTCCCAGGTTGACGTTGATCTAAAAGTTCAACGTTGAACTGATCCAAATAGCTTATCGAAGCATTCGAGGAGCGCAACCGAAAGCAATCAAATAAATAAGTGTTATAATATAAAAGAGTAATCACTAACGCAGCTATTTCTGGATTATGCGATAATTTGCTAACTGATGACGACGCACAATTCGCACAACCCGTCGTCGGTGTCTTCACCGAATGGTCACCGAAGAAGAGTCGTCGAACAATCGTACGTCTATACCAAGGCTTCGGGAATGAGATTAACTCGGCCAACCGTCTCATGTCGTAATTGACCGTCGCCGATCCGATACTTGCCGTTAGCACAAACTGCACATCATATGATTATATACGTATCGAGGTTGATTTGAAAGAATCAAATTCAGGTGAAAAACAATTTTGTTGTGAATATGTAATTAAGCCAAATATAAACATAGGAACTAATTTCAAACTAACAAGGAAATTTTTAGCACAAAATCAGTTCATCATGAATGACTCATCGGAATCCACGACGATAAAAAGCGGCGAGAATGAAAAGAAAACTGTCGATTGATTCACCTGAACTTTATTGTCTACTTCATAACGACCATTTTTACTGCGCGATGCTAAAATGGAGAGATGATCCAACGTCAATGATAACGCATCATGTGAGCTCGTCTGAATAATTCTTTGCATTATTGAAACACACACTGAATCGATTACTCTCAACTAAAACCGCCAACTCAATCGCTTTAAAAGCAAGCGATTGATCGATTACAAATGAACAATGATAAACGATGAAAGAGCACCTGATGAGGGCTGTAAACGTTCAGTGAAAACGCACTAAGCGTGGCTGACAAGTGAATGCCACCACCCGACGTATCGCCATCTGCCGATTCAGACAAACCACTGATCGGTCTCGTTGACGCCATCAGTGTTAATGATGGTAGTTTCAAGAGACAATCGGCCGCAGTGCTTCGCTACAACTTCACTTCATTCAGAAAATCGTTTAGTGCATAAATATCGAATCAATCAGAAATGAACATGTTGCACAACCTGTTGATGCCCTTCGAATCGAATTGTCGATGACTGAACAGTCAGATGGAAGAGAACGTCAAGAGGCAGCACCGAAGTGTCCATCTCAACGATTGCTACATCCGACTCACAAACTTCACTTTGGTTTATTGTTGACAACTGAAAATCCATTTGCAAACAAAAAGAGAATGAATCACTTCAAATGGTAACTGCTGCATAATCAGAATTAGCATTATCAAGCGATTGAACTGCACAAAATAGAATATGAGACAAATGGAATTCGAACATTAGCTGACGAGTTGAAGACGTTATTTTCGGGTAATGGCTCTAATATTTGCTCAACAAAATCTGCCAAATGCGGTGTCACTAATGATTCTTGTGGCATACTCGATAGCTCAACCGCCAGATAAAAGCCTGGTCGCCGACGATAGCTATAAAGTAATCGTTACCCAATGCAATTTTAATTTCCTTTTTTTTCTTGATGGTAAAATTCCCCCAAAAAAAGGGATCATGAGACAAAAAATCACTTTAACCATTTCCAAGGAGAGATTATTCGCTTTTTCATCATCAGTTTCTTCTACCAGTTGTGTGGATAATTTCTTTTTTTTGGAATCATTCGATAATTTGTAACTTTTTCTCGGAAAAAAATTACAAACAAGTAATTCAAAATAAGAGTATTCGATGGTGAACCAATCAAACCTTTGCTTGCCAAACTTAAAGGCGAACATTGTTTGCATTTGATGCTGCATCATTTGTTTGTGACTTCGGTCAAGAGTCGTGTAATAGGCTTTCACATCAACACTATAAAATTTAACGTTCATTATGAGCTCAATCAGCAATACACAAACCAAAAATCATTATCAATTGATTGAATTTTGAGAAATTTTTCACTTCTACCAAAAAATCACATTGCATTTTGCACTGAATTACCTAAAGGCCTTTTTTTTTCAAAAAAAAAGCAAAATCAACGAAGCAATTACCTGGGTATAGCAAATTTAGTTAGCGCTGATGAGCCATTACCTGACCAAATCTTCGAGTTAAGATCTCTTGCTGACGGTCTTTTGTTGAATGGCCCCACATGTTCATCTTGTTTTACTGCTGCTCGTAAAGTGCATAAACCTGACTCAATGTTTACCTGAAAATGCATTAGTGAGTTGTAATGATGATCATCGTAAATAATCAATTACCTGTACATCGATTTCCATATCAACTACATCTGTGGACGGATTATTAGCATCTGTTGACAAACGTGCATTGCCGGTGAGAGTAGAAGGTGCATCAGGTGTTTGTTGTTGAACTTTAGCGGTGGAATGAGCTGGCATAGCATTGGCTGCTGGACGACTTCCGAACGATGAGGACTGAATATGTCGTTTGGATGAAGCTTGTTCATCTGATCGTTGTTGGTCGCTGGCGAGTTTTGAAGCAGAACGATCGTCTGACTTAAATCAATTTCAATACTACATTCTGAATCATATCCAAAAATTCATAAATTTTTGTTATATGTGCGCTAATTTTATGCACTGCCTGCTTCAATTATGAACAACCTTTTTCGGCTCGAGTGTTCGTTTCTTCTGACGAATCGCATTTCGTTTCAATTTATCCAATACCGATTTTCGGAATTGTTTGAATCTAGCCAATTCAAGTTTACGCAGCTTACGACGTTCCTTCTCGATTGTTGGTTCACTGGCACGACACTGCATCAGATCTGTTACCAGTACAGATTGCTCGTGCATCTTTAATAAACGATCAATCAAATACTATCACGAAGAGATGCCACTTAAAAACTAACTCTGTGCAGCAAGTTCATCACGCTGAAAGTTCGTGTCATCCCCGTTGTGTGCCCATGTCCAGGTACCTCAGGCTAGTGAAAAATTTCACCTAGCAAACTTTCAAACAAAATTTTTTGCTGCGTTAAATTTCAGAGCGCTCGTTTTTAGACCAACAGACAACTCTATTCGAGGAATATATTACCTGTGGTTTCCAAAAAACTTTATAAAGATAATCGTCGTACTCTAGTGCACTCGTACACATCACACAGAATCGTAATCGGTACCTTTCGTTCAAGCCACTGAACACGTTCTTCTGGTTGTGCAAGACTACCGAATTCACCGGTGGCATCTATTTCGGCATCTTGCTCATCTTCAGCGTTCGAATCGATCATCGATTCTCGACCAGACTCTTCCCATTCCTCATCATTGTCACCGTAAGCTAACGATGAAAATGTGCTCACCAGCAACGATGTCAACTTGCCAATCCGCTGCAAATTAACACACATCAAACTGTCGTCGTAAGCATGATTTTTCCAAAGCATATGTACTGTGAACTACATTACCATTCAAATACGAATAGCGAATAAAACTAAATGAAGTTGTTCAGAGTTTTGGTATAATAGAAACTGACATGATCAAGGTCAATGGTCATTCCAAGCATTTGCCATTTCACCGAAAGAATCCATTTGGCATTTGTATTCGGATCCGATGCAGCGGTTGCTCGGGACACGAACTGATAAGTACCTTGCGGGAAATAAAAATAGTTGGAATGCGTCGAATCACCAGATTTATCTTCAATCCATGAATCGTTCAATGCCTGAAGATTGAAACTTTACGCACACTCACTGGATTGCTTATAAACAATCAATTAAACAGCAACGACTCCGTCAAAATAGTGTCGAATTGTAATGAATGTAACGAAAATAATACCTGATCATCAAAATTGTCAATGAATTTCACTTTGAAATTGTGGAACGTCGCCTGGCAAGCTAATTCCCTTCGTACACAAACAGTGACATCAGTGCTTTGTAATGAAACAACAAGTGCTGACATATTAGCACTTAAGTCAGCACTATATAGTGGCATACAAACATAAACACCATTCGTTACCTTCAGAGATAGATTAACATCCATTTCGGTATCCGTATTCTGCAAATTATTTCTTTTAGAGTTAGCGGCGTTCTTCACATAGAAATATTCCATAGGAAAATAAACGAGATGAATGCAATAATCACATGTTAAATATCGAAACAACTGAATTGTGAATGCACGTACCAACGAAGTGTTCACAGATGGTGTCGACAATGAACTGCGTCTTGCAGATTTGATCATTTTATTGCGTTGTTCTCGCCAGTAATCGTATGTGTTCTTATAATTGAGCCATAATAGAATTGCCTTGCAAAAAGAAACAATTAGAACGGCAAAGACATCAATCAGAAAGACATCACTGATAATTCTATTGAAACTGTTATTTTCATATAATGATAAACGAAGTGAATTGATTTTTGAAGATTCACTTTATCAACAGCCGAGGATTTGATGAGCAGAATGGGACGTATAACTGTTATCACATAGCTGTATGATGAGTGCACATTACTTTCTTTGTTTTGCACGGAAATCTGCAACGATGAATCAGATGAGAAGTTAATGTAGAAAAGCCGTAAATATTTTGAAGAGAACGCAAAAATCGAAGAATACATCAAAATGACTCCATGAAAGAGAATGAAAGAAAAGAGAAACTGGTGAGTAGATGCAAAAATATGCTTTCATCTTAAGCAATAACAACACGATTGCTAAGCTTTTGTATGAAAATATGGAAGAACATTATCATTACCTGTGTCATAAATGTGGCAAACTCTTGCAGTTCGGTTTCAATTTCCTCGAACATTGCAGTCTTCACAAGTTGTCCCAATTTTGCACTCACACCAATAGTTGCTTTACCGTACAGTCGTTCCTATTGTTATTTATTCATTTATTTGCATGAACTATGAATTGTTGCATTCGATAACTGATGAACGTCATCATAACTATGCACGTAAAATTTCTGCATAGCTTTCTGATACTTGGAATTCAGTCGGTATTACTTTCGAATGGAATGTAATTTAACGCATTCAAATTCATTAGTTCCACAAAGAACATATTCAGTTAGTTCAATCCACTTTATGAGCAAAGATTGATCAAATGATACTAATCGAATATTTACATTCTTTTCGTTCGAATCCTTGAGAGTCCAACGATTTGTGAGATTCGCAGATATATTATCGAATGTGAGACGAACAGCCGTTGATGTAGGAGTGCTCGCAGTTAGTTGAAGCCATGGTGCCGACTCGCCTCGTATCTTAACAACCATTCTCAAGTTATATCCAAAGTTAATAATCAATCAATCGACTAACCAAAAGATTGAACAGGAATGGATATCGAGTTGGGGTTGGATGACCAGGCGTCTGAACGGGTTGTTGGGGTCGATCACCGGCGAGTCGATCGATTAGTAATGTTAATTCGTTACGAAAACACTGCTCAGCGAACAGCACTTGATTAAGCAGATCCGTTGTGAACGTATGCTCCAACTTGCCTTCAAACACAAGTGAAATGTAATCCTTCTAAAGATTTACAACAAACTGCAGAGAAGCGAAGGGAAAATGCAAAAAAAAAGACATCGATGATAAGATTCATTATAGACATGAGTGAATAGATTCATCAAACTTTCTTCTCGAATTTTATCAAAGAAGAAATTATAGCAAGGAATTATTTCCTTCCATGATATCTCTACATTTTTAACGCTTTCTTTGCATATTTCTCCACCACAAACAACATTATTATTATGAATTTTCTACTGTAAAAAATTCCTGCAGAAAAAATTTTTAACTTAGTTATAAACACGCATTCGCCATTGGAAAAAAAAAGGGGTTCCGAAAAAAAGCTACTAAAAGAAAGGATTCTTACCGATAGTGAGAACAATATCGATGTATCCACCTTCACGAAATTGTAAGTTTTCATTGTCGCGTATCTGCGTATCGTCATCTTTGTCAGTTGTTCTGTACGCACCATCAGCATGAATATACGGCAATGCCAACGTGAACGTATCCGATGAGATCGACGAACGACATTCATCACTGGGAGCGTTTACAGTGAAATTCACAACGTGTTTCTTCAGTTTGGCCATAAATTTTGCTTCAGCACCTCTGAAAAAAATAACGACGATATCAAAAGAATAATAATTACTCGCTAGAGCATTAAACATGCCATATGCCATATGTTGTATTTCTGTTGATAAAACAACTATAATAAAACACTTACGTTGTACCACTGCTTTGCGCCTCTTCCAAACGATACTTCGCTTTCAACGATGGCAGCAATTGAGCAGACAACTCAATACTGCTCAACTCAATATCGAAATGCACCAACGCAACTGCTTGACGACATTGCAAATGAGGTGAGTACTCACCGATCGGCTGCAATAGTTACTTCAAATGAACTGCTCAAACGTTTCAAATCATTCAGGAAAACGAAAATGTTCACTTAATAACTTGTAGCACTAACTATTAAGTATTGTAACGTAAAGAAATATCAGCCAAAAAAAAAAACGAAATAAAGAATGACCGTTGGTTCACTATATTCTAAACGGGTCATCTGTTCGTTAAGTTGCGGCGCATTCCTCAAGACAACTTCATGCAAATTTTGAGCGTGAATCGGCATATCGCCTTCAATATCGCCAACAAATAATTTCAGATGACTGTCCATTGAACCATCAACGTCCAATTCACTGCAACACGAAACATCAATGCAAAACAAGACCACTTCAAGCACATTCTCATTTCACGAAACACTGAACAATATCCGCTAACCGTTTGAAGTTGAACGTACTAGCCTTGACCGAAAAATTAACAATATGTTTGGCATCTGAACCGACAACAAACTCTGAAAGAATGAGATTCGCTCGTTGTACAGATGCATTCAAGTCATCCAATACATGCTTGTCGTGTCTAGTTTTATCACGTTGGTTTCGATGGGACAACTGAAATACGTCGATCATTTAGGGAGTTCACAATATGCTAACATAAATACAAAAGCAATAAAACAGTCATTGATTGTTTACTGTTGCTACACTGAAGATGATTGATAGACCTAAAGTGAATGAAAAGAAGGCTGGCAAAATAAAATAACCTGAATTCTTTTGAAAGTTGTCAAAACGGACAAATGCGTTAAAGTCATTTCCAGCATAACCACCTTTAAACTAGCTTGACCTTCGACCCTCACTTGAACGTGTCCCCGTGACACCTGCGGCATTCCGGCACGTGACCTGAGTCATTATTTTACAACACTCATTTTTATAACTTAATTAATTGAACGTGTTTATAAACAAGTCGAAAATATTCGCAAACTTTTGATAGGCACGAAGTTTATCCAATACTCCGGCAATCCAAGAATGATGAACGTTCACTTCAGAATTGTTCTCAATCGACGGCGTCGATTGCAAATTTGACTTCGTATTGATACTGCCCGGTTGACTTTCGTGAGTGTACGACTGGTTGGATTTGATGAACGCCAATATATTGGCTGTAGAACGCGTGACTCGCGTCAGATCGTTGAATAAGCATACGGATGCTAACGCGAATGTAACGTGCACGGACTGGGCAGTGGCCGAATAGCTGATATCATAAGATGCCCTTGAAGATGACAAATAACAATTAGTTGTTGATGACAACTCGAAATGTTGCATTTGTAACTATTTGAATGTGTCAACATTTATCGAATAAATTCGCCAACCGAATCAACAACGATATTTTATTAAGGGAAAATGCGAAATTCCAGGACAAAAACAAAAAAGGTTTAACTAACACAAATAGAATCATCTATGGATGGTTATCCAGCAGAAATGAAGTAAATAATATTCCAAAAAAGATTTTAAGAATAAAAAATGGTTGGTAAATTCATAAAGGAATGAAGAACAAACCTAACTGGTCGTACTTTGAGATCATCCATATGAATATGCGAATGAAAGTGACCTTTCATTAGAACCGATTGAATATGTAACAGATGATGTCTTGTTATGGATATGCAATTGATACTTGACGATATTAGTCTTGGTTCCAATACATCAACCTATCGTAATAAACACAACGATAATCATCATGAATTACGATAATTAAATATTAAAAAAACAATACAACTCTGATTACAATAAACACAAAATTTCTTAAACAAATTGAAATACACTAACTCGAAGTTCCTTCCAATTCACTGACCACACTGCATTTGTCTGTGGCAATGATGGGCTGTTCAGCTTGCAAGGTTCAAGTTTAAGTACCTGAAATACATATCAAATAAAATTCGATTGAAACAATCAATATGAATGATGCACTTTGCAATTCGACGCACATCAGACATTACAATAAACACGTAAATCTGAATTACATCCACAATTTATCTATAACAAAATCAAACAAATACAATGATCAACCCCTTACAACATTACAATCCTCAAATTACTCCAATAAGTTGATAATACATAAATTTACAATTGAACTGACACGACTGAACCTGCTGAACAATGCTGTATTATAAACTGTACATTACGTACCTCATAAACTTTCCAAAAGAAAACCGATAGAACAATTTCCATTGGATTCACATGCTCAAAATCATCAAGAGTTTTTTTCTTTCGGTTCTTTGCGTTCGCCTCTTTCTGCTCACGATGTCGTGCCGATATCCAATGATACAAGTCCACTGAAACGACAGTTTGATAATATCAGTCGAAAGGGGAATGAAAAGTACGAGAATGACAGTGTTCCTGACACACTTTGATGTGATTCAGCGGCAGAACGAGCACTCTCCAAAGTACTGCTTTTATGTTGGGGTAATTCATTGCTATTCATATCGCTCATTTCTATATCAATCTTAACATCGGCGCTCTTTTTGATTGCTTCTTTTACATACTTGTTCGCGATTTCCGTATTGGCTAGCTGTAACAAATAAATTATTACTGCAACAAAAACATTTCAGTTTATGGTTTGAAATAATAACGTTGGCACGTTATTGAGTTTCATTAGAAGGAAGATGAAAGGTTGAATAAATGAAATTAAAGTGAATTAATTCACCTTGATCTGGGAACAAATGATAGTTTGCCAGTGACTCAACAAGGCAACAAGGGCTTGTTTACGGATGTCACAATCAGCCAACTTCGCCTTGTCGGGCACATTGATCTCGTCCCAAAAGTTATGCATGTCTGCTTCGGCTGCATAACGTACCAAAATCAACGACAATTTACAACTTGGACACGATGCCGCAGCTCTCTGATGCACTTTGACATCCGCGAAACAACTTTTCTCTGTTGAGAATATCTGAACGAAGCTATCAATCAATCGTGCACAAACAAATAACGCATACACATTGCAACCACAAAAATATGCGCGGAAACTGTTTCGAGACCAAGTGAACAGCTGACGAAAAGTTTGAAGGACGAATCAATCACCTGGTCACTATTACAGTCGAGTGCATTCGAGAGAGTTTCTGCAAACGCAAGATCGATCCATTCATCGATTCGTTTGAACCAAATCTCAGAAGATTCACATAGTCGATGTACTGCGTACGTCCATGCTGACACACAAGGAGCAAAAACATCGAATAGAGGCCATTCTTTGCTAAATTTTATACTTTAGCAACTAATATTTGAACAAAAAAACAAACAAACAATTAAAGAGAAATTAAATTCACTGCATACGATAAACCATGCTGCTGTGCAATAGTAGAGACGGCTGATGTTGAAAATGAATCGCATCAAGAAGAAAGATGAACTGAAACAAAGGAGCGAATAATGCATTATTCATGCGTCCAACCTGCTCGTTTGATCGATTGGCTTACAGAGCGCGAATTCAACTGAAGCTGTACCCAAACGTAATTCCATATTGTTCACTAAAGCAGTTGTTCGCTGCGGTGAGCTTGGAGGACTGTTATTGATCAAAAGAGATACGTCTGGCAAATCAACTTCTGAAATTAGTCGAATTTTTTGGAGCGAGTCAAAGTTCATGTACCGATTACGTTTGAATTACTAAAAAGAAAATGTTAATATTGAAGCGAGTGACGATCATATGATGCTGAATGATGAACAGATAATAATAAGCATGAATTTATGCAACTTTACGTGCAAACTGATGAGTATTACCTGCGACGGTTCGCATATCAAAATCGTTCAACTGTTCATCTAAATTCAACGCACACCAATTATTCGTGTAAACTATCGATGCATTAGTTTTACTGTGCCCGAAATCTCGTTTACTTGATTCGACCACTTGTAAAAACTGAGCGTGGCAATGAATATTGCTACATTCAACACGAACACGAGCTTCTTCGGCCTTAAAATTGATTGTAAACAATTACATTGAAAGCGAACATGATACAACATGAAAAGCACACAACAACATTAAGAGCACGTTCCATTTTGGATGCACTGAAAACATTATGAAAAAAATGAAAATCTGAAAGATGAAAATGAATTGATTCTACCGCATTTCTGTGCGATGAAGCAAACAACACCGTGTCCTGTACGTTGACAAGTGCTACATTACTGCGCACCAAATGAGATAAAGTCTCTTGTACAGACGTTAAATGAATTGTTTTTTCGATAAGACCACATTGAAATAACGCAATATCGATCGATGGCAGCAACAGATTTGCATGAACATTTGGCTCTGAAAGTATGAGAAGACACTGAACGATTACGATCTGCACACAAAAACTGCACTGTGAAACATTTCAATCAAATGCAACTCTTCAACGTGATGCATACGGTAAAGGAATTGCTTTAAACGATACTTTAAGCAGCAAATTAATACTCTTCTAGATTCCAAAAAAATCTGATATGCAAAACACAACCGTGCCTGCGAGACGTAATGAAAAAGAACGACAGAAAAGATTTACCAAAATTTTGTTTATTTTTTTGTGGAGACGTGGTTAATGGCTGTGAATGATGTTGGAAAACACACAATGTGTAGAGATGCTGTGCAATAAAGGCTGGATGAATTGTTGAGAGTGCAAATGCAACGTGTTCACCCAATTGCTGCGTTACTTCCAGTGCCAATGGAGTCACGAATAACTGCAACTTGATTACTACATTACGATAACATAAATCTTATCACATAATCGAATAAAGTGGTTCACAGTGGCCATGCAATCAATTAAATTATTGTGAAGCCTTCGAATTGTCACACTAATAGAATTTCAACACAAATTTCATGTTCGAATCGCTCATTAACGAAGCGAATAGGCCTGGGAACGTTGTTCGGTCAATACATATTGTTACTTCTGCGCATAACGATAAACGATGAGATCGCAAAGAAATTTGAAGCAGATCAGTTTGAAGAAAATGGCGTAGAACATTTGAAAAAGATGTTAACAACTGGCAATTGTTTAAGCAATACGTTGACGATACCCAACTTATTTGACAATGAAATTGAAAGAAACACCAACTCGAACATTCGTTGCAACTGTACCACGCACGTAGAACGCCAAGTGATCGGCACCGAACACGGACATAACCGATTCACTACTTGGTGTTGACAATACCACTCGTTCAGATGATGAGTTCAGCGATGATAACGTTGGTGCTGATCTACGTTTCAAATCTTCACGTATTAAATGCATTTCATTGATACCGTCACTTATCTAAAAAAACACCTTCATTTCCACTGTATTCATCACAAGTTCATTAAAAAAAACAGCACCACAAAACACTTCTCGATTCAAACTTTATTCAGTCGCATACATTCAGTGTAAAACCAATTTGGATGCTTTCCGCCGATGATCAAAGTGAATCATCAAAACAACGCAGATCGAATTATAATAAAGCCAAAACCAAATTTTTGACTGTTTGATTCGAAACTTCTCAATAACCACATCCATATGGATGTACTAAAATTTTCAAATACCTTAATAAACGAAATTTTCGCACGTTGCACGCAACTCTGCAAAGATTCAGTGCCAAACAAACACATATCCTCATGCTCGCCAACAGACGAGTATCTGCTCAAGAATGTGTTGTAGTTGGTCAGCAGTACTGATGATGACATTATTGGGCAAACCATATGATGCGATAAATTCACCATTGATGTCGATAACGCGGAATGGAACGAATCCTCAGATGAGGTCTTCCTTGCACAACTTGCTTTTTCCTACAACAATCTCATTGTGAAATATTCCTACAACAACTTCATTCTGAAACACGAGTGGACAAGTGAAGGAGAAGAATCACTTCTAAAAAATATGTCACTATTAGAGTCACCATCGTTCATCTCTCTGCGTCCGCAAAAAATTTCTGATCAATTAAACAAAGCAGTGATGAAATGATAAGTTAGTCAGTGGAAGATTTAACAAACGAAACAGTACTTACATTACAGAACGGTGATGCTGGATCTGAGAGTGCAAGTTTGCGAATTGTAGGCGATTGCATATCAGAAAGTGCCCTAAAGCAGACAAAAATTATTACAATTCGAATTCATTTACTGTTCTTCGTTTCATTACCGGTATGCTTTAGTGATATGCTGGATCACTTCCTATATTCCTCATAAGCACAATGCAATATTACAACTGCACCCTTGAATAGCACAATTCAAGCGAACAAATCGTTTGCTTTTTGTTAAATCAGATCAATGATTAGGTAAATGGCATAACGGTAGTTATTACTTTTTACCGGCAAAAATGATGCTTTGACCAATTCCCGGCTGAACGCTCATATCACGATCACAATGTTGTACGGCTAATACACTCTCCAAATCGCTCAGGAAATTTTTTCCTCTGAACACAACAAAGATTGAAAGATCGTTTCAGCAATGATATTATTACTGCTGAATGAGAAACAATGAATAACTGAATAAATCAATAGAATTCTTCACTCAAACTAAAAATGAATCGTTGAAATTTTATGGATTTGATTTGACTTAACAAAATTTATTTGTCTGGCAAAATACTGATTGATATCTCATCTAAAGATATGATTAAGGCTAAAGTGATAATAACGAACGTGATATCGACTTTACCAAAGAAACGGCAATCACCATAACACGAGCATGTACTTTGATCGGGGGACAACCACAAAAAATAAAGTCTGCAAAACAAAGAATCACTTTGCACTCAGCTTCAGAGTAAACCACTGGTCTGCGATAGAAACAGATGCAAGCAAGCATCAAAGTAAAGAACAATAGATTTGAAATGAATGAATAATGCAAACAGATCGATAAAGTGATTGCTTTAAGAGTTCATTCGAAAGAAACCACCTCGATGAAGCTTTATCGTGTTTTAGCAGAAAGTTTCGTTTCTCTTGAACCAAATGAATTTCATTCGAATCATACGGAGCACGTATATCGATATCGACATTCTCAACGCACGACATTCCACATTCCATCCATTCATTATCATCATTTTTCGTTGTTAATTGCCTCACACAAATCTGATGCATTCCTTTCATTCAGCAGCAAAAATTATGAGTGGATGCAATGAGTGAAGCGATACACAACTAACAGATGGCAATTTGACGATGACATCAGAACAAAACGATGCTTCATGACAGTTGCACTGTGAGAATCGGACCGGTGAAACGGATAATTGCAACGCACATCTATCTTCAATAATGACCACATTGAATGTATCAATACTGGCGCGAACCATTTTGTATTTTAACTAAAATCAACATTTATTGATGAAAGTGTCAAAAAAAAAACGATTCAACTGAATGCAGTAGAAAATCAAACAATGCTATAAGTTTAACTGCTAAAAAAAATAAGTGAAAAAGACGGTGAATGATTAAAGATGGAGCCGATACATTTTCTTCGGATTCACAATTTTGGATACGTCCCTTCGTATCGACGAGATTAAGCGCTGAACGGGGACATGTTCGGATGTCGTTCATATGATGGCACAGTTCATACCTAAACGATCATCATCTCTCAGCTTCTCCTTTCCGCATAAAATTTTATTGGCTCCAGTAGGGATATCGTCATTAGTTGGTTTCGAGCGAAATGTTTTCTTGCGAACGGAACTCGGACACGACACGTATCAATTTTAGATTAGATGCTCTAGCACACAGCGTCTCGCTCGCTGAGATCGGTTTCGCTCGAAACCGAATGTTGCATCAATATCAGTGATGCTGAGCCTCAGTCAAGCTATCACTTCGCTTATATCTTACTGTTATTTTAATTATCACTAATTATTATCATTCTTCTTATTACTATTATTATCACCGCTACTGTAGAATACTTTCAATTTTAAACCTCTTTCCTTCGAGAAGTCAATTACTGGGTGTTTGTATATGCAATATATTGAATGGAAAGTCCAACGGAAACAGATTAAAGGTACAAGACATTTTTGACTGAAGGCACATAGATGTATTCTTCATAAGTCACGTAAAAAAAGTATTTCACCTTTCAGGAACTTGCAAATCTTCATCAGGACATACAGAGAGTAGAATGAGCGATTCAACAAATTGTGCCAATGTGACCAACTTGAACAAACAGTAAATTATTACCATTATTCGTTAATCGTTTTGCACATTTCTCATCGGAACACATTTCAAACTACTCGACATAGTAACTATAGGTTTTAGAGAAACGATTGACGTATACAACCAACTCCGAATGACATGCAAAAAGTGATTATTTTCACGAATAATTGTAAAACAACTCTAAAGCGCCCATAAGAAAGAAGAAAAGGGAAGATGCGACGAACGTCGGCAGGATGAAGTTTAGCATTAATGTTGCCAATGATCACTTCAATCAACCATGCATATTCTACAGATCCCGCATCCCATGGGATGTCAACTTCAGAGAAGAGTGCATGACCACGGAACGAGAGTGTCTCTAGCGCAATCACTCCTTCTGAATCGCTGCCTCTTGATGCCCCAAAACAAACAGCCACTGTTCCAACGTTCACCTCAAATCACGAAGCGCTAGATGAGTGGTCGTGTTTGTTAATGAAACCAAAGCCACTCACCTGTACCATCGTTTCCAGTGGTCCCTTGACAATCTCTAATGCCAACTGATCCATATACATCACTGGACACTCATCTAAAACCATTCTTCTTCTTTTCATATTCTTGATCCCAAAATAATCGCAATATTACCTGCACAAGACGAAGCGGCGTGCACCAAACAATGTGCTTTTGAGCTGTGCAAATAAAGACAAAGTTGCAGTGAGAGTGGCCGGTAGTAGTCAACCTCATAGGGAATATCACCGTATAGGCGTGACATGTTATCAGAAGAAACGACATCCGTTAGCTGAGAGAAAATAAACATCAAAATACATCATTACTTGTACAATTTGCATGCAGATTAATGTGCTTGCTTTCGAAAATAAAGTTTACCAAGCACTTCTGATGCCAAGAAAATGAAATGTTGATCTGGAAACGATCAAAATTGCGATTGAAATCATCAAGAAACGCACTGCAATGATAAAACTACGAGAAAGAAAACATAGAATAAAGTAACAAAATAAGACATTCAGACAATACCTGATCATACAATCCAAAGTAGTCATTTTTAAGATCGATGATTAATTTCACCAGAATACCCGTTAAAACAAGTTCCGACTCGCCAATATCAACCTATAAATGAATGAATTAAACTGGAAAAGAATCTACCTTTAAAGATTCTATATTAGAAAGAGTACAAGACAAACCTTTACAGACAGATAGACAATTGCTTATAAAATGCGATGATAACGCAGAGAAACGCGTATTTCTCAGTGATAGCTTAAGCCTAACAACAGAACCTCTCTCATCCAAGAGTTACTTCTAGCTCGTGACAAACTGTCTCATCGCGTTCCTTCACACTCTTTAACCTCCTTCATCACACCCAACAAATGGCCATATCAAAATCATTGAAACGTTCATCAATTAATAAATAACTAACCTGAATGAATAAATCATCAGGAGAGAGCTGAATCGGATGCGGTGGTAATTTGGCCGTACAATTTGCATTACTGTGATACGGTAAGTCTGATGGCGGATCTGCATACGATGGATGATAAGTGTATTCGAACAGTAACCTGATCGTTTCACATCGCCAAATTTCTTCCCATTCCTTAATCATGACCATCAACAACAAAACAAAGTAACAGTTAGTCAATTGCGAAAGAATATTGGTATCAAACGAAAATTACTGCATATTATTGATGATCAAATAACTTTGATAAAAATTTCATCTGAATTCAATACTTAAGATTTATTATTTGTGGCTAAATATGTTCATCAAATAATTCTCTCTTGTAAATCAAAATCAAAAAAAAANAAAAAAAAAGAACAGAAATGGAATACTAACCTGAGAAGGATTCGAAATAGTTGGCAACGATGTTGTTGCTGGACTTAAGTAAGTGAAACGGGCGTTTTTCATTAACGAATGCAACAGTGGTGCTAATGGATTTTGTGACGGCAACCAGACACGTAACGCTAAGCAATCGTGTACGTCTATTATGTATTTCAACGCAATTTTCTCTGGACAAAAATCCACAAAAGGAAATGCAAAAGCGGCTGTTATCTCTTTACCAACGATCGCTGCCAAACAATTTTCTGCTGACGCCGATGAGCTGAAATGAACGATGAAACGATAACTCTGGCCTGCACTGTGAAAGAATTCAACGGAAAATTCACTTCGATTGAGTTTTTTGAATTTTTTCTGCGGTTCAAATCAACGAACAAAAGGTATACTAAATGCGATGAGTCAGTTGAAAGGTAATAAATGATGTGATAAGAATATTATTGTTGAACAGACGAAATTCAATGAAAGTTAAGCATCACTGGCGTTCACATCATTCCGTTAATCCTGTTCTGTGAATCTCAAATTTTAGTGTCACAAGATTTCTTTGATGTCACAAATCCACTAATCAGTGAATCAATCAATCAATAATCAATTACTCACCTTGTATCAATCCAATTTTTATCATTCAACGCTAATATCAATTCAACACTGTCCGTTATTCGAACACTGAACTCCCAAGTATAAGGTATAAAATTATATAAATCAGGAATCGATTCACTTGTCCATTCGTTGATCAAATCCTGTAAAATATTGCAATCACAGCGCACTTTTTCCCAAATATCTCCCGAAATAAAAAACATGTTTCGTTCGATTCTCAGCAGCCAAACACTACCTGCCAATTTTGTTTCCCCGATGAATAATCGAACTTTAATCGAATTATTCCACATTAAATTTAACCCAAAAGCCATACTTTGATTCAAATTATTCACCAAAAACAACGAACCGTAAAAAATCGCTTATGATCCCAAACAATCCACGAACTAATTTTGTTGATTTCAATTGAGTACTTCCATAGTTGATGTGCATTAAAAATACGCGGATAATGTGTGTCAAGAGTCACTCGAAGCGTTTCACATTGAAAGAATTTACGATAAGCGAGCGAAGTGGATGATTCAACACATAACAAACAACAGCGTAACGTTGAATGAAAGCCGTCATCCAGATATATCCACGGAATTTTGAACTGAAAATGGCAGATGTCTGTTCAGAGAGAAGATTTAAAAGAGCGTCAATCGCAACAAGCAGCTGACTGTCCACATATCAATTCTGCTTCTTAATGAATGATAAACAGTGAACGGCACGCAAAACAAATGAATAACCATGAACTAACATCAAGTGATGAACCTTGCTTAACCCTCAGGTGAAGAGCATTCAGTTCATCACCTCTCATGAACCAAATGTCAATCCCAGCATCGTTTAATAATGAAACACGAATATCGTGGGCTAATAGCATCCGACGTTCACCTTTTACTGGTAGAATGCTTCAATATTCATCATTAGTAATAGGTATGATTGCCGTTCTATCGAATACATCATCATGATAATCAATTTACAAAACAACAACGCTTTCTTGACTTTTTTGACCATATTAATCTTTCGGATAAATCATACTTTCTTTAGAAGGCTCACGCTACGAGTTGAAATGAAAAATTGCTTCGTATATTACTCGTTCGATACGATAGAAAATAGCAAAACGAAAAGTAATTTTTCACTCCAATTCTAAAATGGGTGTATATTCTACAGACTTCTCTAACAAATAATTAATGCAACCCAGAACAACATTCTCGATGTGACCAGCGTTATACGGTTAATCTACTGCATATTTGAAGTGGCCATCCATTGTGTGCATCTGATGACTGGAATGAGGCAAACGTTGAATGAAGTGAAACTTACGTGACATCAGCAGTGCGTTGTTCAGCAGGGAAAAAGTAATTGTAGAGCATCACACGCTGGGCATCCGCCCATGGACCGTACGAAATCACCGTGTTCTTGCCAAAACGCCAAACGGATTCCCAAACAGGTTGATCCATATCCAATGATTGAACTTCTTCGCTCACTATGCCTACATGTACAACGAATAAGCGAAGCAACCATAAATTGATGAAATCGCATAAACCTAATTAATCATGAAATGTAATGAAAATTATTTGAGAACGCAACCTAAAATTGACTGATTATAATAGAATTTAAGATGAGCCGTTTGGAGTACTGCAAAACCGTCGCCCATTGTGCGTGGTGGTGGATCGCGACGACCGACGAAATGCGACGGCCTGTTTCCTTTGAAATCCGGGCACTCCACCAACGAGAAACGAACGTTTTCCGTATCCCCAACAACACTCACCAGAGCTCGATCCGTTCCTCCGGGATACTCTTTCAACGAAATTTTCGCTGCAAAATGAAAAAAAAAATCATCCATTTACACAAATACAATAATACACCAACTCTATTCTATTGAAACTGAATATCATAAACATTCCAATTTCTTTCTTCATTTCGGAAGCTTTCTTCGAAACTAATTTGATTCAATTATTACGCTTGTCAAATTTCACTGAAGTTTAACTTTCAATTACATCACATTATTTATTGAAAAAATATACAAAAACATACAAATTAAATTTTCGAAAATTAGAACGAACGCCGATGGTAAGAACGCATTTCCGGCGATCACACATCCAGACCCGATATCGAGTTTAATATAACCAAATAATGACCAGAGATTGTCATAATACGCGTCCCACTCTTCCTCTTCCTTTCCTGCGAATGAATGCCACTATAATAAATCACAAACAAACGCTCTAGAATCGATGTGATCGAAACAATTCGAAATCAGAACGAACAAATTATCTGTCGGCATTTTGTTGAAAGAACTAATTTCAGAAAGAGCCTGAGAATTCCAACCGATTTTCCATGAATGCTTCTGTCCTAGTTTGACCTCCATTGGTATCATTGCTTGTGCTAAATTCTTTTTTTTTTTCTTCTGGGAAGTTAGCTAGAAGAGCATCTATCATTCATAATACTAAAGTATGCACCGATTTGACTCAGCCAGACACAGTTCGAAATCCAGATCATATATCTATCTATCTCTGTTTCGATTCAATGGCTAAATCATAATCTTCAATCTACAGTTCCATTGATAACGTACTTGTTAATTTCTTGTTCACTGAACTATTCGAATCTTCTCTGAGTGAACCAAATAAACGTTCCAAACCAAACCATTTGGCGAGGTTACGATAGTTACTGAGACGATTGTAGACACGGATTTGGAGACCATTTAATGAAAGATGTAGTCTTGAAGTATCACTAAAAAATGCTTCGTTCGTCGATACATTCACGATAGTGATGAATATGAGCAGTAGCGTGGCCAGCACTTTCTCCAAGAACGGAGAGGCGCAAAATGATCTGGCCCAAAAAACAGCTGACTCTTGGACTGCATTCTTTTACGTTCATTTTTTTCCGGTTTTGAGTCGGCGGTTACCTGCACGCTGTATTTGAACTAGGAATAAGCGAAGTAATCATCAAATTTATTGGATAGAATCGTAAACATAATTTGCATCGTGACCTTGAATTGGGTATTGGTTTTGCAGAAACAAATTTCCAATATGAGAAAATGATCCAGCCATCATTGCAGTGAAATGAATAATCATAAGTGGTCCACTGTAGATCACGGAACATGATCTTGCCTGCCATTAAACTGATTGAAAATGAACCTATAAAAATTTAAAGAACAGTCATAATCTGTTACGCGTAAAGCTTCACGACTCCAACTTCAGTCTCCTTCGAAATTGGATACTTTCAATGGTCAGTTGATCGATTTTCGTTTGTTCTCAAACCTACACCACTGCAGACATTCAGTTATTCATTATTCTAATTAGTTCACTGCTCAATTCGTCGGCATACCACTCTTCCAGTAAACTATGAAAGCACTTTTCCTCATTACTTATCTTACCATCTGTGAGCATATGTATGGTTGTATTATGATAGTAAGATGATTATCCCAGTTTCCATTGTTGAATCTGGCTGAGAAATGACCTTGATTGCAAATGATCAACCTGTACGTACATCACTGATAAGTGGTAGCATAAAACTAGTAGATAATCAATAAGCTCACTTAAAACAAAAAACAATATCGAATATATCGGGAGTATACGATGTAATTATACTTACCCAATGAGACGTAACCAGTATAACCTTTCAAACGTAAAACCCGCGTTAGAATGAAAGCAAGAATAGGTCCAAGAATTCTGGATAGATAAAATATAAGGAAAACAATCCACACAATGAATAACACCAAACTGCCCAGCATCAACCAGAAACTCGCTTTATCCGGCTGAATATTGCATCAATTTCAATCAATCGTTCTCAATGAACCAATGGAATCGGCTATTCAAAAGCAACAATGATAAAATTTGAGTGCGTTAAACTGAATCATTTTAACGTGTCTTTCATAAGAATTAATGTGCTACATTCGAAGAATATATTACCCCTACATGTTATCACCTTTACGTGTTCACATATCAAAAGCATATCTGTATTCGAAGAATATTTTTAATTTTTAAGTTGTGTGACTGCTATACATAGGTCCTACAGTACTCAAGCACCCAGTTAAGTCAAATTCTGTCCTCGACCTTAATTTCATCGTTGAAGAGGATATGATAAGGCTTTTCAACATTCTCACATATAGCCGTTTGGTGCAATTTTTGTTCGTTGATAGTCGCATGGAAAATCTATTGCACTGGACTGTACAACGTTTTCATCCATAGTTTATGCTACCACTGAGAGTTGGCTACTAATTTCGCAGCATTCCATGAATGAAACATTATTGCATTTCCTAACAACCAGAAACACAACTTAACGTTAGCGAAGTATGGGATGAGATTCACATCATTTTGAAAGGCCTAAAACGACCTACATCATTTTGAGGTGTTTTCTTAATTTCTTGACCCTGGCGTCGAGCGAAGTTACCTCTTGAGACATGATCGGCATTACGTTAACGTCTCAACGTTTACATTGACGTGCCTCTTCAGATTGACGGATAACATATCGGGCTATTACTACTGAGTGCAATGTCAAAGTTTCAATTCTGCGGTACTTTTTTGACGTATCTCTCATCATATGTAAGTCACTGCATTACCTTCTCCTCTACGTAATTTTTTAACATCTTTACATGTGACTGCATTATTTTTAACATTTATAAATTTGTAAAACACTTGTACTCATCGAAAACACCGTTGAAAATCATGCCTTTCATATTACACATCTCCAGTCCTGCTAATGGCGAATAATGTGAGAAAAGAGGGTTCAAGAAATACCTGAACGATCTCTCTGTAATCCTCCCATCTTAGATTGATATCACCTGGTAATGATAATGAACCGTTGTTTGCCGGCCAAAATGAAGGAGAGTCCATCCTACCACCAATCGATGACCCGTTCATTCTCGAATAAGGGATTCTTTGTTATAATTTTATCTCATCCACGCATCTAGGAAAAGCTGTTGAACGTTTTGATTGCAACAAGAAACAATTTAGAACGCGTCAACGTGAAGACACTACAACTCACACGAGTTTGCAACAATGCTCAGTGGTGTTGATTCAAATCTTCATTTTACTTTTCCACGTCGTTCAATTCCTAATAAAAGATTTCTCAAGATAGCGCATTCAACTTTATTCTTAACTCATAAACGAGCCTATGCTCGATGTAAAGCGCAAATTTTGTTTCGACTCTGAAAATAGAACTGCACAACGAAAATCCTCATTAAAACCTATGTCAAATTGAAGAAGTCTTTTCCGGTGCTGATTAAGAATCGTTTTTTACTCATGGCTCGGTCGGTGATGTGTGGGCTACCAGTTAAATGCTGATGATTCGAGTCCTCGATGAGTTGGCCCTCCTGCTTCTTCTATGTTCGTCCTTTTTTTCTTGGCATACCTTTCGAATTGTCCTGTTATTTCGAGAGCAGAAAACTGACTCTTGGTAAAAGGTTTTGTCAGCAGTCACGTTATCAGTAAGAATGCAGAATTGTTGTCTTGCTGCGATCATGAGATTAGCTTGGTGTCCGTACAGCCATTTCTGTCACTCGGTGCTTTAAAGAAGAACATCGCATCGAGCCGGTTGTACGGTAACATTCATTTTGGTTAAAGGATTGCACAAAAATTAGTGGAACAATTTTGGTGAATAGTTGATCACTTCGGATAATCGTGCAGGTTAAGTCAACGAAAGGGGGGGGGGGGTGGTTTAACAGAGGTAGTGACACTTCGCCAAGTACGAACGGACTGACAGTTCGCCAAGTGACGGAAGTGGGATTTTCATTTGATATATGTTCAGAAATGTGAATTTCTTACCTACTCAACGGGAATAAATCCGGGCAAATCATATATCATTTTGTAGCGCAGATCCAGGAAAACAAAACGTAGCTGATAGATTTACCACTGATCGACATATGCTGGAGATTTTCGATTTCGCCTTAAGGGCAAAAATGCAACAGATACTTTCAATTGGTACCCACCCGACAGGAGAAATTTTCATTCATGATATATACTATGTTGTAGCCGAGATTGAATGCAACAGAAATCTGTTTTAGATTTTTTCGGCAATTGTTAAGTTAAGAGAGTTATGACGCTCGGCGTGAGCAATAGTGATGTTCACTGGTCACAACTGGCATGTGTATAGAAGAAATTGAAATTCTCTCTACTGCGAATATAAAAATTAGGCGAAATGTTGTATACCATGTTGTAGCCGAGATTGAGTACAGCAGAAATCTGTTTTAAATTTTGTCGCCAATAAGTTAAGAGAATTATGACGCTCGACGTGAGCAATGGTGATGTTCACTAATACTCTCACTGACCATAAATATAAACCGACTATAAACCAACCGATATTCTTCTGGAAGTGTAACACGGATGAACTTCGAGATTGAGTGCTATTCATTTCAACAACAATATTCTTGCAGAAATGAACGGAAAAGGAAACATCCAATTGAAAAAAATGAAGTCAAAAAATCGCACGATATGATAAAACAGTGAAATGCAAAGATTTGATAATGAAATACAAACGACAAACAAAATGTTGAATTCCAGGAAAAACTGTTTCGTTCTCTTCAATGCTGAGTTCAACTGGAAAAACTGGAATCTTTTAAATACACAAATAAATACATTACACAAATACATTACACAAATCTTTTTTAAATATTAAAACTCTTTCTGTTGTGAATATAAAAATAAGCGCATCTTGAAGATGAGTTCTTATCATTCATCCTACGTCGAGTATTGAGGTGTTCATTATCCTTAATTCTCGGTTGATATCATTATCCTTGTCACTAACTGAGATGCTCTGGTATTTGGTATGATGGAAATCTTGTTGGGGAAATCGATGATATAAGTTTTGAAGCGCATGAAAAGCTCCATCAGATTCCGTTCTCAGTTTGAAAATCTTGGAGAACTTTTTAAGAAAATCACCTCACCGAAGTGAGAATATTGATGATATTTAGTGACAGTTGCACATATGAGGTTTACAATTGATCTATCACTATAGATCAATTGTGTACATTAATACAGCACTATAGACGTTACGATCTTCAAGGTACCGGTACTCTCAGGTTTGCCCGGTAAGATATGAACTTCTTTGCAGCATTCGATTGCTCAGAATCTCTATTTTCGGAATACTATATATTTTATCAAGCAATTATCATTAGATGAGGAGGTATAGCTATTTTCTCAATGATATACGGTTTGCCATCTTCGAGCCTGCCGTACCCTCAAGTTTGCACAATAACATATGATTATTTTTACACCATTCGATCCAGCGGAATCTCCGCAGTCTGAAAAATGTATATTTTGCTGGGCGATTTTGCTTACTTGAGGAGATATAGCTATTTTCCTAATGCCATCTCAATTAGCGCAGATACGCTCATTCATATGCATTGCATCTCTATAGGTCAATTGTAAACATTACTACAGCGATATAGGCGGCACGATCTTCAAGGCACCGGTACTCTCAGTTTTGCCCGGTAATATGAGATTTTCATTGCACCACACGATTTGCTCAGATCTCTGCTTTCAGAATATTACATATTTTGCCGAGCAATTATGATTAAATGGGGAGACATGGCTATTTTCTCGATGCTGTACGGGTTACCATCTTTGAGTCTACCGTAATCTCATCGTTCATATACTTCTGATCACCTTAGATAAATATATGGATTACTCCAGCGATATAAGCGTTACGATCTTCAAGGCACCGGTACTCTCAGTTTTGCCCGGTAACATAAGAATTTCTTTGTACCACACGATTGCTCCGAATCTCTACTTTCAGAATATTATATATTTTGCCGAGCAGTTATGATTAGATAAGGAGATATAGCTATTTTCTTAATGCTATACCGGTTGTTGCCTTCGAGGCTACCGTACTCTCAGCTTTGTCCAGTAACATATGAATTCCTGTACACCGTTCGATCCATCGGAATTTTTAGGTTCAGAAAAACATATATTTCGTTCAGCAATTCTGCTTTCTTGAGGTGGTATGGCTATTTTTATAAAGATCAATTGGCAATAACCGCGATCATATATATGCAGTCTATCAGTATAGATCAATATCAGTGCGTTACTACGGCTCTATAGAGGTTATCATCTTCAAGGTAACCTGAATACACGGTTTG